ACATAAGTAGGCCTACAGTATCACAGCGAGGTCAAACAGGTGTGTGTGTGTGTTAGTCAGATTATCCAGTGTCCACAGCAACACTATTGATTATTCTCTACCCCCAGTGTATGTGGTGTACTATGATCTTAGCCATGCTCTCACTAATCCTCATCTTTTATCTTTCTCTGTCTCTCCTTCCGGAGGGCCTGAGGCTCTTGGACTGTCACTGAAGACACCATGGCCTGACACCTGGATGCGCCTGGCCCAATCCCACCTTGCCCCCTCTACCAGCCTGTTGCTACCTCCACTGATTCTTTCTCCCTCTCAAGTCACTGACCCACTCCCCACACACCCAGAAATGTGTATTTCATTACTTACCAAATGACTTTATGAAAAGCCATCTGTCCATAGGGTCTTTAAGTGAGTACTTTTCTACCATTAATACTGGTATTGCCCTTTCCTTATTGAAATCAAATAAAGATTCATGCAAACTGGAAGTGTGACTTCTTTCCCCAAATATTTCCTAAGGCTGAGGTACTTAGTCAGTTATCAGTTATTCCATACCAATGCTAGATGAGGCTGAATGGCAACAATACCACACACAACTGCAATGCAACATAATTTGCAAATAAATTCATTAAAAATCCTACAATGTGATTTTCTGGATTTTTTTTCCTCATTTTGTCTGTCATAGTTGACGTGTACCTATGATGAAAATTACAGGCCTCTCTCATCTTTTTAAGTGGGAGAACTTGCACAATTGGTGGCTGACTAAATACTTTTTTCCCCCACTGTATATCCAAAGGCATCTCACCTGCCTCCACTAGTAAGGCACATACAGATGTTGATTTAAATACATATCCTTAAAGCTATATACTGGATTCTGTCCAGCCTCTGAAGCCAAGTCTTCACCGCTGTTCCATAAACAATACACACGTAACCAATTGTCGTTCTGATCAGAGCTCTATAAATATCCATCAACGATTGTCTATCAGCACCCCATTCATAACCAGAGACCGAGTGCATAAGATTCACCACCTTCTTACACTTTGTTTCAACATCTATGACATGATCTTTCAATATATATCGCTCACTGAACCATAGACCCAAATATTTGTACTTAGAAACCCTCCCCATAGGCTGTCCATACAGAAACAACTATATATTATCAGCAACTTTTTTATTCGAGAAGAACATACAAGACTTCACCACTGACAATTTCAAACCCCAGTCAATCGACCATCTTTCAACATCCACTATAGCTTGTTGAATAGATTTGATCACGAGAGACATTCCTTCCCCTCTTCCAAATAGCTCCATCATCAGCATATAGGGAAGCCCCAATACCCCTACCTACATTCGAAAACACATCGTTAATCATAATGTTGTACAAAATAGGACTGATAGCACTGCCTTGAGGAATACCATTGTCTACTCCACAGGCATCAGATAAAATGGATCCTATTTTAACTCAAAAAGAGCGATTAAATAAGAAGGCCAAAACCCAGTTATATAATCTCCCACCAATATCAAGTCTTTCCATCTTAATCAGTAGGCCTTCTCTCCACATAGTGTCATACGCCTTTTCAATGTCAAAAAACTGTAGCCATTACTTCTTTCATGACCAGAGTTTTTTTTTATTCATTGCTCACCTTAATGCATCCAAAGTAGATCTACCTTTATGGAATCCACTTTGACATCGACTCAATAAAGCTATATGTTCCAGGAAATATGACTGTCTGACTATCATATTTTCCATCAGTTTACAGTTAGCACAAGTTAGAGGTCAGTGATATTGGTCTATAACTATCAGCACATGAAGGGTCCTTACCAGGCTTTACAAAAGGTAATATTACTGCACGTGTCCAACCAGAAGGTATAACCCCCTCACTCCAAATATTATTCAAAAATCCCAGGAGAACATGTATGACCTCATCAGGTGGATGCTTAAACATTACATAGCACAACTGATCATGACCTGGGGCTGTATATCCACAGCCTATTAAGGCTGAACGCATCTCATGAATGGTAAAAACAACATCCAAGAGTCAACAGTATCCCTTTTCTTATACACATTAACACGAGCATTTAAAAGCTCACACCTGCGTTGGTTATATACTTCATCCAAAGTAACCCTATGTACCATAGCAAATGTCTACCCCAACAAGTCAGCTTTTTCTTTATCAGTTACGGACAAGTGGACTTGCGTTTTCCAGTCATCTTCTTCAACATAGACCATACATCCCCCAGCTCAGCATCCCTGCCTATTGTAGAGCAGAACTGTCTCCATGCATTTCTCTTGACAGAATCTACTTGGAAATCAAGTAGATTCTCAGGAGTCATATTCCTAATCCTATGCAACTCTCTGTAAGCCCTATTTCTTTCTCGAATAGCTGCAGTGCACTCTCCAGTCCACCAAGGAACCACCTTCGCAGCACTCAAAATCAGAGAGCAGGGACGGCCTGTTCAATAGGGCGATATGGGCGACGCACTGCCAAACGGGAAAAGGAAGGGATTTTTTTTCTAATCAATTATATCACGGCAACAGTAGTTATCAGTGTTGTAATCTATACGTCTGATCTGCCACAGTGCCACACTGCCACTAAATGTCGAATCAGGCTAAAGTCGTGCTTCAAATGGCTCCACCCCCTTTTGGGGCGATTTCAGTCAGATTGAAAATCGCCCAGAACTTCTGTCATAGACTCCCATGTAAAATCTATTTTTTTCAAATTTCAGAGCCTTCAATACAATCTCAATGGGTGTCTGTGGGCTTGCACTTACGCGCTTTCGTCACATGAACGTAACTAAGAAAAGAGAGGGTGGCAGCGTCAATCAATTCACTACTACTATCAACATGGCTAGGCTTCAGTGCAACTCGGTTGTGTCTTTGAAAGAATTTCCTTTTTGTCGGCGAACAAATGAAGATAAATTGGCAACGAAACAATTAGGACCTCCCAGACCAAATTTAATAATTCAACAGGTTTCTACTAAAGGCGGAAAGTCCTACACCCGAGGATTTTCCAAAAATTGGTACGAACGAAAAAAGACATTGCCACTCACTCAACTGGATGACGAGGGATACAGGCTAGCTGTCCGCCGCCACAACGATGAGGTTAGTGTTGATAATCACAAGTTTACTGGATGTGGATATGGTGTAATAAAGGCAGTTTATTCAGAGGTAAATATATCTGGAATCGCGTTCACGGACCCGTTCGTCAAACTCTTAAAAATGAACTTGGGCTGGGAATTGCCAGGAACCTCACGATAAGATATATGCATCAGCATTGCGAGTCTCATGATTCTATACGTATTGCGATTCGATACTGTGATTTTATTGCGCACCATATGTCTGTTGCAGAGGGATCAGAAAGCCATGAGAACGAGTTTTGATCAGTCATGGAAATAAAAGTGCTGAAAACAAATTGGCTCCCAATGTGAAAAGATTGAGAACAAGCTATGAAGGAACAATAATGGTGTTTTGGTGCAGGTACAGCCAACTAGCGCTAAAATATTGCGATATTGTCAATACAGTATATCGTAAAGTATCACTATGTAACTCGATTTCTTTCACCCCAATCCCTCAAATTAACGGTAAATAACTGAATTGTTTGCCCCACATTTAGCTAAGATGATTAGCTAGCCAGCTAAAATGTTTTAGTTAGTTAGCAGTCGCATCTACAATAGTTTACTGTCAATAACATGTCTCCAAAAATGACGTGGTGTCTCCAATTGTGTTGACATTTTACAATTGCAATGCGCATCCATGAGTATCCACTTTCTGTAGCTCAGCTGGTAGAGCATGGTGCTTGTAACGCCAAGGTAGTGGGTTCGATCCCCGGGACCACCCATACACAAAAATGTATGCACGCATGACTGTAAGTCGCTTTGGATAAAAGCGTCTGCTAAATGGCATATTATTATTATTATTATTATTATTATTATTATTATTATTATCTGAAGAGAGCCCCGAAACATTGTGTGCAGACATTTTATGCAATAAATGAAGTAGGTTCAATCTAGTAGTTCTGATCTTCTGATTGGTCCTGATGAGTTGGGCGAGGTCCCCTGCAGGCTACTGTCACTGTTGCATTGGCTCTGAGTCGGGTTCTCTGTCTTCAAATGTTCAGCCTAAGAGAGGGGATTTTTGTGTGTGTGTGTGTGTGTGTGTGTTTAACAGTGATGATGTGTGTGTGTGTGTTTAACAGTGATGATGTGTGTGTGTGTGTGTGTTTGTGTGTGTGTGTGTCCTCAGAGCAAGAACTCGTGAGTTGGAAGAACTGAGAGGCCTATGGCGTGGGTGTTGTCCTTGGCCACCTGCTGACAAGGCTGACAAGATAGGACCCTTTTGTCCATTGTTATTGGATAGGAACAGAACTTATAACCAGCTCCTGACCTAAATAGATCTTAGCACACATTTCCAACATAATTCCATATTCACTTACAATATATTATACGATAGCAAGAACGCACATCCTAGCGGTAATCCGTGTGGGTTGCGGAGTGTTTGAGTTAGCTTTGGAGGCAAAGTGAAACAGGCTCCACACCTGGAAGCCAACACTTTGAGATCAGTCAATAATGCTTGTATGACTTATATTGCCCTGCTTCATGTGTGTGGACATATCTTTTTAAATGGTGTAGGTCACCTAATCATCAAAAAAATGCCCTCTGAGAATTTAGGAGCCGCCACTGTCAGAGAGGTCAGAGGCAGCACATACATCAACCGGCCTCTCTAAAGACAACTCTCCAACAGACTTTAAGCAATGATCACCAAAGTTTTCCCAGTCTGCTTTATGAAAGCACCATCTTCTGAATGGTACCCTATTTGGAATAGTAACATCAAAGTTCATGGTACACGAAATCGGGAAATGATCACTTCCAACAGTAGAATCATTCAGTACATTACATTTACACATAGATGCTGGTAAACGGCTTGAGTGAACTTTCTTAATTTAGCCACCATCTTTGACTTTTTCACAAGATATAACATTATTATCCAATCACTGACCAGAATTTGAAGCAATTGATTTCAAAATCATTGGGCGTTGTACTTTACTATCAACGCCTCTAGGTGGGGTGGTGATTTTCTTAACCGATTCTATACTATCCGGACCGCTCGTTGTTCAGTTCTAACCGCGACTCCTATCTTCTCCCTCTCCAGTTGAAGCCTCATCTGCACATACCACTTTAAATGTAGGACCAGGACAAGATGGCGGGTACGTAGCCTTTATTTACATTAGCTTCGGGGAAATGCGTTATTAAGACTTATTTCCGTCCCATATTTAAAAAGTTTCAAGTGAAAGTACAATTAAGCTATTGATTGAGTATCCTTTCATTCCGTTTTTGGTTGTTTTTACAGATATATCTTTGCTGCAAGAGGATTCGCAGGAGGAGTTGGACGGATGTAAGTTTTCAGTGTGGAACTCTTACTACTAGGGGACTGACTAGCTTGCTACATAATTGCCCTGTCGGCAATGGAGTTCACGGGGGGGGTCGTATGTGTGGACCTTGAGTATACGTGTTGGACTGTCCCCTTTCTTAGCAACTTACTGAACTTTTCCCTCTTCGATGTGTAAAGAGGTATATTCACATGTTACATTTAAATGCTTGCAAAAGTAGTTTCGTAACAGCTAACGCTATGTCACGCGCACAGTTAGGTCATAAACTAACCAGCTAGCTAGCAAGCTAATTGGCTAGCTAGCCTCTGAAATGGCCAGATAGCTATCTAGCTCAGCTAAAGCAGATTAACAGTAACAAGCGGTTCGATTCACTGCATTGTATTCAATTTGATTATGAACATCTCGCACCCCTCGGTAGCTAGGTTCCAAACCTAATCCATCAAGCTTGCGTGCAGGATAGCTAGCGACCTAGCTAGTTACATCAGTGGAGGGAGGTTGTTGGGTTTTGTTCGACTACAGTATGATACTCGCTAAGGGCCATTAGTCACTCAACCTGAACCTCCCTGATGTGGAATGTTAATGGGTTTGGATTATTTGGTTTACTAGCTAAACTAAATTAGTTTGATAACAAAACCAGCTATACTGAAAAAATATATAAATGCAACGATTTTACTGAGTTACAGTTCATTATAAGGAAGTCAGTCAATTGAAATAAATTCACTAGGCACTAATCTCTGGATTTCACATGACTGTGCAGGGCGTGCAGCCATGGGTGGGCCTGGGAGGGCATAGGCCCACCCACTGGGGAGCCAGGCCAGACCAATCAGAATTTGTTTATCCCCACAAAAGGGCTTTATTGCAGACAGAAATACTCCTCAGGTTCATCAGTAGTCAGGGTGGCTGGTCTCAGACGATCCCCCAGGTAAAGAAGCTGTATGTGGAGGTCCTGGGCTGGTGTGGTTACATGTGGTCTGCGGTTGTGATGCCTGTTGGACATACTGCCAAATTCTCTAAAATGACGTTGGAGGCGGTTTATGGTAGAGAAATTAACATTACATTTTCTGGAAACAGTTCTGGTGGACATATCTGCAGGCAGTATGCCAATTGCACGCTTCCTCAACTTGAGACATCTGTGGCATTGTGTTTTGTGACACAACTGGCCTTTTATTGTCCCCAGCACTAGGTGCACCTGTGTAATGATCATGCTGTTTAATCCGCTTCTTGATATGTCACACCCGTCAAGGTGGATGGATTATCTTGGCAAAGGTGAAATGCTCACTAACAGGAATGCAAACACATGTGTTCACAAAATTTGAGAGAAATAAGCGTTTTGTGCGTATGGAACATTTCTGGGATCTTTTATTTCAGCTCATGAAACATGGGACCAACACTTTACATGTTGCGTTTTATATATTTTTTCACTATAGATTGATATCACTATCCAGCATACATATTAGACAATTTGGGGACTGGCAAAAGTGGGAAATTGATGCACCCAGCCTGGCCGTATTGCAATAACTGGGATGTGCAGTTACTTGACACTGTTACAGTACAAGCTAGTTATTTATGTTGCAAGAGGGTGGATTGCTTTGTTTCTATAGTGCATCATGCAACATACCCATACCATTATGAAACAGTCAACATGCAATAAGTCCACCTACATATAACTACCTTCCTCCCACAGATCCACACCTGCTTTTAAGCTATGTGCATTTTGCCATGTTTAGATGTGTTCATTGTAGGCCTATGTTGATGACATTCATATGTTTTCCTCTCATTAAATCTGTAATTTTCACTTCTGCACTTTTTTGTGTTGGACCTTATTATTTTAACTACTGCTGATATGCTAATAGATTTAGCATTGGTGCCAAGCTTCTGCACTTTTTTGTGTTGGACCTTATTTTTTTAACTTCTGCTGAAATGCTAATAGATTTAGCATTGGTGCCAAGCTTCTGCCACTACTGCATGTCATGTCATTCACTCACTGTTCCTCATCACTGTCACTCACCGGCCTGTCTGGGTGGTGGTGGGTGCCTCTCATGCACTATATTTCCAATGTCTCTACTAGTTGGTGTGGATGACTACAGCTCAGAGTCTGACATCATTATTATACCTTCAGCCTTGGACTTTGTATCGCAAGATGAGATGCTGACTCCTCTTGGAAGATTGGATAAATACGTGGCTAGTGAAAACATTTTTAACAGGTAGCTATCCAATGGAACATTATTAGAACACACATTTTAAAATACTTTTTAAATTTATTCTGGAGAATAGTCAAATTGGTTCATTTTATGCATGGTTGTTATTGTGTGAATTCCAGACAAATGGTGGCACGAAGTTTGTTGGACACACTTAAAGCTGTGAGTGAGGATGACAGGGACTGTATCACTGTCTTGGAGAGAGTGGGCCGACTGGCCGATGACTCAGGTAAGACCCCATCGCTGAATGAGACGTGGCTGTTTCATATTTAACGGCTGACTGTATTGAAAACACCAAACTTGTCTGTCCATCATGTCTGCATGCTCTGGACATGCCCCTATTTCTGTGTCATTAAGTAGCCAGCCTGTTCTCCTCAGCTGGTCACCAGTGCAGAGATAGGCCTATGAATGTTTGATGGAGCGGTGTATTTAACTGACTGTTAACTGCACCTGGCTGCCATTTCACACAGGTGAAATGCATTTAGCCTGACTTTTACAGCCGGTCCCTGTTCAACCCCCCTTGGCCCTAACCCTTCGATGTTTGCAGATCTTTAAGGTTAGGTAGGCTAAGCAATATAGTGGAAGGTGCACCACTGCTTCTACCTATCCAGGCCGTTCAGATCGGCCAAGTTTCAAATTTTGATGTCACGTGCACAAGTACAGTGAAATGTCTTTCTTGCAAGCTCTAAACCCAACAACACAGTAATCAATGTAGTACTAAAAAGAACACAAGGTAGAACAAAAACGAGAAAGTAAGTAAGCTATATACAGGGTCAGTTCCAATACCATATTTATACTGAAAAAAATATAAACGCAATAATTTTAAAGATTTTACTGGGTTACAGTTCATATGAGGAAATCAGTCAATTGAAATTAAATTAATTCATTTTGGCCCTAATCTATGGATTTCACATGACTGGGAATACAGATATGCATCTGCCTCACAATGGGCCTCAGGAACTCGTCGCATTATTTATTTGCATTCAAATTGCCATCGATAAAATGCAATTGTGTTCGTTGTTCGTAGCTTATGCCTGCCCTTACCATAAACCCGACGCCGCAATGGGGAACTCTGTTCACAACATTGACATCAGCAAACCGCTCGCCCACATAACGCCATACATGTGGTTTGCGGTTGTGAGGCTGGTTTGACATGCTGCCAAATTCTAGAAAACGACATTGGAGGCGGCTTGTCAGCATGCCAATTGCGCGCTCCCTCAACTTGACATCTGTGGCATTGTGTTGTGTGACAAAACTGCAAATTTGAGTGGCCTTTTTTTGTCCCCAGCACACCTGTGTAATGATCATGCTGTTTAATCAGCTTCTTGATATGCCACATCTGTCAGGTGGATGGATTATCTTGGCAAAGGAGAAATGCTCACTAACAGGGATGTAAACAAATTTGTACACAACATTTGAGCTCATGAAACATGGGACCAATACTTTACATAGTCCGTGTAGCCATTTTGTTAGCTATTTAGCACTCTTATGGCTTGGGGATAGAAGCTGTTCAGGAGCCTGTTGGTGTCAGAAATCGAAGTGTTGGGGCCATGGGGAAGTGGTAGGGATTAGGAAATTGATTGGTCATTATTAGCTGGGATAACTCAAGTTTATTTGTGCAATGGTTAGGTCTCTGTAATTCTCTGAATGTAGGCTAGTGTACTAGCAGTGTCCTTGTAAGCGCAGGGCATGATAGCGTAATGCAGTAGCCCTGCTTTGCTTTATCTTTGCCAGGTCGCTGTTGTAAATGAGAACTTGTTCTCAACTGGCTTACCTGGTTAAATAAAGGTTAAATAAAAGAAAAAGAAAATGGTGCATGCATACATTAGAGTAGCAACCAGGTCCCTTAACCCTGGAGTACACTGACCAGAGCGGACCTTAGTCAGGCAGTGGGCATGTTTTAAAACAACTTCATGAATATCGTAAATAATAATGCACATGAAAAAGGTTTTCCCATAGCGTTTCAAAGGTGGGTGTGCTTTGGGGACATTTGGGCCTGCCTGGGAAATATTCTAGTCTATTTATTAGTGGATTGATGTATGTCTTTCAAATGTAGGCCTAACTAAATTCACATCTGAAGTTAAGAAAATATAACTGTATTTCTGCAGATAATCTCTCTGGACAAATTATATCCTCCCTATGGACAGAGGAGGATATCATTATATTTGTCCAGAGAGATTGTGTCCCCAAAGGCCTTTTGAATGGCAAAATGATCTGGTTTCATCATCCAGCCAGGGTGCTGCTGTCTATGATGTAATCAGATCATTTTGTTTTTAAAAGGCCTTTGATCTTTGGGCTTTATTGGCCCCTTTTCTACTGTTTTATAAAATATTTTTAAATGGATGACCTTTCTCTTTCAGAGCCCACTGTAAGAGCAGAGCTAATGGAGAAAGTTCCTCACATCGCCATTTTCTGTCAAGAGAACAGACCTTCCATTCCGTTTGCCTTCTCTAAATACTTGCTACCGATCGTCGTGAGATACCTGGCTGACCAGAACAACCAGGTAACAAGCGTGTGACAATTCATTACATTATCCCTCAGTGTGTTGTTAATCATACTTCTTCTACTTTTCAAATGCCTCTATATGGCCATTGACACATGTTAAATTTACACCAATTTAACGTTTTTCCGATGATGAATTAAGCTGCGAAAAGAAACATTTCATCGCAACTCTAATATTTGTCTAATGTTATTAATAACTTCTATATAATGATTCTGATGTCTCCCCAGGTCAGAAAGACCAGCCAGGCAGCCCTGTTGGTGCTGCTGGAGCAGGATCTGATTGAGAGGGGGGACATTGAGACCCTGGTGTGCCCCGTCCTGGTGGACCTGACCGCCCCCGACAGCAACGACGACGTCAAGACGGAAGCCATGGCCGTGAGTCACGTGACCAAGGAGATGTCTGAAATGGCACCCTATTCCCTATATAGTGCACTTCTTAAGTTGGTTTGATGGGTTCTGGTCAAAAGTAGTGCACTACATAGGGATTAGGGTGCTATCTCAGAAGCACGAGTGTGAGATGTAGTATGGAGCAGTTTATTCATGACATGATGCTCACACCACATTGTTATATTACCAGGCAGCCAGTGTGCCACTTTAAGATATGCTACTTTAAAACATTAGCATTTTATGTCATGAGGTTGACCACTTTGTTTTATCTGGCTTGCTATTTACCATAGCTGTGATATACAGAGGTAGGCTGCAGCCAGCATTCAAATTAATGTTTGTCCTTCTGCAGATAGTGCAAGGCAAGAGTATTTCAAAGTTGTCCATAGGATGCAGGTAGTGTTTTTGTGATGTGGCCAAACCTCCATGTGATGTGAGGAGGATGCTGACAGACTTTATTTTGACTCTGTGTTTGTGTCTGTAGATCATCTGTAAGATGGCCCCCATGGTGGGCAAGGACATCACAGAGCGCCTCTTCCTGCCCCGCTTCTGTGAGATGTGTTGCGACTGCAGGATGTTCCACGTGCGCAAGGTCAGTAGGATCTAGACTAGGGTTGTGTTCATTCGGCACCAAATGGATGAAAACGGACTGAAACGGGAGGGAATACCTGAAATTGTTATCCGTTGCAATTTTAAAAAATGTTTTCTGTTGTGTGCCGTAATGAACACGACCCTGGATTAGACCACTCACAGGCAGTGGTTGTCCCACTGTCTATGGGTAATGGGGACTGAACACACTCAATCAGACTTTCTCACATGTAGTATTGGTCTTTTCAGCTTTTTTGTTTAACGTATTGTTATATCTGCGTGGGCTTTGAGTCAATGTTTTAGATGTTTTGTTTTCTGTGTGTTTATGGCAGGTTTGTGCAGCAAACTTTGGCGACATTTGCAGTGTTGTCGGAGGAGAGGCGACAGAGAAACTCCTGGTACATGTTGACCTCTTTTGGTTTCATTCTCAGCCAACTGACTTGTTAGCTTTGTCACACCAAGGTTTACTCAAATGAGTCATCTGACAGCCAGAAGCTACTATTGTGCCTAATGTCGTTCCCAACTGCCACTGTATTGTCAGTTTCTCTGCACTCAGTGTATTGTTCTGTTGCAACTGTGTTGTGACCTTGAGATTGTAACGGGTGACCCATTGACACGCTCTCTCTCTGTGTGACTCCACTCAGTAGCTTGGCCCCGTGCGACAAGGAAAAGGCATTCCAAGCTCTGACTAACTGAAATTGTTATTTTGTTTTCTGCCTTCCCTTTCTCTCCCACCTCTCTCCTTTCCTGTCCAGCTGCCCCGCTTTTTCCAGCTCTGCTCGGACAACGTGTGGGGGGTGAGGAAGGCTTGTGCCGAGTGCTTCATGACCGTTTCCTCGTCCACCTCGCAGGAAGTGCGCAGGACCAAGCTCTCCTCGCTCTTCATCAGCCTCATCAGTGACCCCTCCCGCTGGGTGAGCACTCGACAGAAAGATGGATTTTCTACCATTTGGCAACCCACATCCACAACCTGACCCGAGGGGTATCCTACGAAGCAAGCTAGATCTACTCTGGGTTTTCCAAAGCTAACCAGCTTGTTAACTTAGCATTCCACTTCAGGTTTCATCCGCACTACGACGGTGGATATTGCTCGTCCGCCTGCCGTTAACTCTAGCAGGCTTTTAACTGCGCGTGCATGTCGCACATGGCTAGTCAAACACTGAATTCTTCATTGAGACAATGCTGAAACGTCAATCCATGGGCAAGTCAGTGCCACACTTTCATTTTTGCCAAAATCGATGTGAAAGTCATCTTGCAAATTCAGCAAGCTATGGTGTTGAAGTGCCGACTTTGGTGTGCTTAGTAATGTACAACTACCTTTTTTCCCCCATTCCTATCGATAAAGGTTTTGTATTAAGGAATAAAAAAAAGTCATACTGTGCGTGAAGTTTAAAATGCATTCTGTCATTACTAAATGTGTAATGTGATGTATTTTTGTAACACACACAAAAATACATTTTGATTTAATAAAATATTTAATCAGCCGTCTTCCTCAAATGAAGGGGATGATGACGCAATCTTTGCAACTTATGGCGCAGTCATTTCATTCAGGCTAAGTAGAGTTAGCCTTCCCCAGAGCACATTAGTTCTGAAGGATTCGTTACCATAGAAATTTACCTGACTAAAAAGTGAGCCACTTTCGTATGACTGGTTATCCCGAGTTCAACTCAGTTGACCAAAGTTACCTCGCTAACTCCTCAAACCTGCTTTGTAGGATACCCCTCCATTGGTAAATACTTTAGCATAGGCATTAAACATTGACCTGGGGCTAGTTCATGCTCTAGGTAGTTTGCTGTAGGTAACTCACTTTTCCAGTTTGAAAATAACTTTTTAGAGAAAATGTTTTTTACTGCAGGGCCTGGTAGTAGTAGTGTTTTTTTCCCCAATAGTTAGCCCACCATTATGGAAAATTGACATTACATCTTTTAAAAGCACGGCTGACATGCGACTTAGGACATGTCATGACACATGCTTTTCTCTGCTTCCTTATTTTAATGCACAACTTGCCTACTCTTTACAATGAGTGTAAGTAATTGTCATGTCATACTCATTTGTTCCTGGACCGCTTGTCTCGTACTGTGTGTCTCTCTCAGGTGCGTCAGGCTGCCTTCCAGTCTCTGGGCCAGTTCATCTCCACGTTCGCCAGCCCCAACAGTGTGGGCCAGTACTTCAGAGAGGGGGAGGAGGGCGAGTGCAACTGTGTCCATCCACAGAACAGGTGCAACCATTTTGGGCCTTTTGAGCAGGCATCTAAAAGGGAATTTACGTGAATGGCTGGATCCTTTCTTTCTGAAGAAAATCCACCAAGCTTGTATTGAGATTTGAACTGCTTTGTTTGTAACTAGCTTCCTTTCTCTCCCACAGTATTGAAGAGAAACCACTGAACTCGGACACTACAGACCCCTCCCTAAGGGCTAACACAGAGAATTACTCTCAGAGGCACTTGCCTGCATGCACAAATGGCAACCAAGAGGAGGGTTGTCCACAACAGGACTGCATTTTGACAGGCGACCTGGGGGAGGGGGTGTTGTGCCGGACAGAGGAGGTAGGAGGTGTGGATGTGGCGGAGGAGGGGGGTGGGGAGCAGGCGGCGGAGGCCTTGACGGACGCCTCGGACGGTGGATCGTGCTGCGAGGATGCCGACATAGGTCCTGAGTGCCTCTGTGGCGAGAAGAGCAAGAAGGAGCCTTCCTCGCTAATCCCTGACTCCTTCGACACAGCAGGGGCTCGGGAGGAGGAGGAAGCCCCTTCAGGGCATACTGAGAACGAGCCAGAGCCACCTGAGAAGCACACAACCTCTAACGAGAAGGATGACTCACCAGCAGACATATCTGAGCCCTCATCCTTGCCTGAGCCAGCAGACGAGTCCCCCTCTGTCAGTCCTCAGGACAGTATCCCTGAGCAGGAGCTCTACAACTCCTTCCACTTCTGGAGGACGCCCATCGCTGAGATGGACCTGGACCTGGAACTGCTCCAGCAGGGTGAAAGTGGCCAGGAGGAGCCCCCCAGCTATGGCTCCTCCAGTCAGGGCAAGACTAAGGCCTCGGCACCCATCCTGGACCGGAAACAGCTGGAAGAGCTGATTGAAAACCTGGAGCCTCATATTGATGACCCTGACGTGAAAGGTGAGCTGTGTGTGTGTCTATGAAGCTTCAGCTTTACTATACTATTAGAGGTCTACACTACAGCTGGGGTCAAGATAAGCTGCTTACTTAAACACCATACATTGGAATTTAACTCAAGAGGTGGTTATTTTGGTCACTGTTGAAATACATGGGGTTGTGTGTCCATTCATAGAGACAGTGACTCATAGTGTGTTGTAGGCTGTATATAATTCCGTTAGGAAGAAGTTGTCATGGAGGGTGAATTCCCTTGGGCAATAAAGTGACAACCTGTTTTTTCCAAGCTAACCCCAGCAATACAGTGTTGTTGACTGTTAAGATTCCTCTGCCGTGAATGGACAGCAGAAGCTCAGCTGTAATGTTTCACAGGTAGTGTTGGGTGGTAGAGCTCAGAGGCTAGCACTATAGGCCAACGCTGTGAGAGGTTAGACTTTGAGTCCAGTCCACTGTGTTATCGGTGGAAGGAAACCCTTGATGTCGCCTCGGCATGTGCGGTTAGCAGCCTGCTGGGGCCTGGCCATTCTATGCAATACAAAAGGGAGGTTATATTTGGGCCCGACTTGAAAGGGACAGAGGCAGTAAATAGAAAAATCGTGAGAGGTGTGTACCGGTATATCAATGTCATAAATCGCACAATGAAACTAAGGGCGTTGTCAGAGGTTACCAAAAAGCACCAGAAAGAAGCTTAAAACTAAAGCTGTTTTTGTCGTAAAACAGGTTTATACAGTACCAGTCAAAAGTTTGAAAATACCTACTCATTCCAGGGTTTTTCTTTATTTTTTATTATTTTCTGCATTGTAGAATAATAGTGAAGACATCAAAACGATGAAAGAACACATATGGAATCATGTAGTAACCAAAAAAGTGTTAAACAAATCAAAATATATTTAATATTTTAGATTCTTCAAAGTAGCCACCATTTGCCTTGATGACAGCTTTGCATTCCAGGTGACAACCAGCTTCATGTGGTAGTCACCTGGAATGCATTTCAATTAACAGGTGTGCCTTGTTAAAAGTTCATTTGTGGAATTTCTTTCCTTAATGCGTTTGAGCCAATCAGTTGTGTTGTGACAAGGTAGGTGTGGTATACAGAAGATAGCCCTATTTGGTAAAAGACCAAGTCCATATTATGGCAAGAACAGCTCAAATAAGCAAAGAGAAACGACAGTCCATCATTACTTTAAGACAAGGTCAGTCAATCCAGAAAATGTAAAGAACTTTGAAAGTTTCTTCAAGTGCAGTCGTAAAACCATCAAGCGCTATGATGAAACTGGCTCTCATGCTGACCGCCACAGGAAAGGAAGACCCAGAGTTACCTCTGCTGGAGAGGATAAGTTCTTTAGAGTTAACTGCACCTCAGAAATTGCAGCCAAATAAATGCTTAATAGTTCAAGTAACATCAACTGTTCAGAGGAGATTGTGTGAATCAGGCCTTCGTGGTCGAATTGCTGCAAAGAAACCACTACTAAATGACACCAATAAGAAGAAGAGACTTGCTTGGGCCAAGAAACACGAGCAATATGTCCTTTGGTCTGATGAGTCCAAATTTGAGATTTTTGGTTCCAACCGCTGTGTCTTTGTGAGGCGCAGAGTAGGTGAACGGATGATCTCCGCATGTGTGGTTCCCACCGTGAAGCATGGAGGAGGTGTGATGGTGTGGGGGTGCTTTGCTGGTGACACTGTCTGTGATTTATTTAGAATTCAAGGCACTCTTAACCAGCATGGCTACCACAGCATTCTGCAGCGATACGCCAGTCCTACTAAGCGCAAACCAGATGGGATATCACCTCCAGGCTGTGTAAGGGCTATTTGACCAAGAAGGAGAGTGATGGCGTGCTGCATCAGATGACCTGGCCTCCACAATCACCCGACCTCAACCCAATAGAGATGGTTTGGGATGAGTTGGACCGCAGAGTGAAGGAAAAGCAGCCAACAAGTGCTCAGCATATGTGGGAACTCCTTCAAGACCTTTGGAAAAGCATTCCAGGTGAAGCTGGTTGAGAGAATGCCAAGAGAGTGCAAAGCTGTCAACAAGGGTGGCTATTTTGAAGATTCTCAATTATAAAATATATTTTGTTTTGTTTAACACTATTTTTTTGGTTACTACATGTTTCCATATGTGTTATTTCATAGTTTTGATGTCTTCACTATTATTCTACAATGTAACAAATTGTAAAAATAAAGAAAAACCCTTTACTGAGTAGGTGTGTCCAAACTTTTGACTGGTACTGTGTACAGTGCCTTGCAAAAGTATTCATCCCCCTTGGCGTTTTTTCCTATTTTGTTGTATTACAACCTGTAATTTAAATTGATTTTTATTTGGATTTCATGTAATGTACATACACAAAATAGTCCAAATTGGTGAAGTGAAAGGAAAAAAATAAAAATTTTCAAGAAATTCTAAAATATACAGTTCGAGTCGGAAGTTTACATACACCTTAAATACATTTTAAACTCAGTTTTTCACAATTCCTGACATTTAATCCTAGTAAAAATTCCCTGTCTTAGGTCAGTTATGATCACCACTTTTTTTTAAGAATGTGAAATGTCAGAATAATAGTAGAGAGAATGATTTATTTCAGCTTTTATTTCTTTCATCACATTCCAGTGGGTCAGAAGTTTACATACAATCAATTAGTATTTGGTAGCATTGCCTTTAAATTGTTTTGGGTAGCCTTCCACAAGCGTCCCACAATAAGTACCTGGGGCGGCAGGTAGCTTAGTGGTTAAGAGCGTTGTGCCAGTAACCGAAAGGTCGCTGGTTCTAATCCCCGAGCCAACTAGGTGAAAAATCTGTCGATGTGCCCATGAGCAAGGCACTTAACCCTAATTGCTCATGTAAGTCGCTCTGGATAAGAGTGTCTGCTAAATGACTTAAAAAAAATAAAAAAATAATAATAATAATAATAATTGGCTGAATTTTGGCCCATTCCTCCTGACAGAGCTGGTGTAACTGAGTCAGGTTTGTAGGCCTCCTTGCTCGCACACGCATTTTCAGTTCTGCCCACAAATGTTCTATAGGATTGAGGTCAGGGCTTTGTGATGGCCACTCCAATACCTTGACTTTGTTGTCGTTAAGCCATTTTGCCACATCTTTGGAAGTATGCTTGGGGTCATTGTCCATTTGGAAGATCCATTTGCGACCAAGCTTTAACTTCCTGACTGATGTCTTGAGATGTTGCTTCGATATATCCACATAATTTTCCTTCCTCATGATGCCATCTATTTTGTGAAGTGCACCAGTCCCTCCTGCAGCAAAGCACCCCCACAGCATGATGATGCCACCCCCGTGCTTCACGGTTTGGATGGTGTTCTTCGGCTTGCAAGCACCCCCCTTTTCCTCCAAACATAACGATGGTCATTATGGCCAAACAGTTATTTTTGTTTCATCAGAGCGGAGGACATTTCTCCAAAAAGTACGATCTTTGTCCCCATGTGCAGTTGCAAACCGTAGTCTGGCTTTTTAATGGTGGTTTTGGAGCAGTGGCTTCTTCCTTGCTGAGCGGCCTTTCAGGTTATGTCGATATAGGACTTGTTTTACTGTGGATATAGATACTTTTGTACCTGTTTCCTCCAGCATCTTCATAAGGTCCTTTGCTGTTGTTCTGGGATTGATTTGCACTTTTCGCACCAAAGTACGTTCATCTCTAGGAGACAGAACACGTCTCCTTCCTGAGCGGTATGACGGCTGCGTGGTCCCATGGTGTTTATACTTGCGTACTATTGTTTGTACAGATGAACATTGTACCTTCAGGCGTTTGGAAATTGCTCCCAAGGATGAACCAGACTTGTGGAGGTCTACAAAAATAAAATTCTGAGGTATTGGCTGATTTCTTTTGATTTTCCCATGATGTCAAGCAAAGAGGCACTGAGTTTGAAAGTAGTCCTTGAAATACATCCACAGGTACACCTCCAATTGACTCAAATGATGTCAATTAGCCTATCAGAAGCTTCTAAAGCCATGACATCATTTTCTGGAATTTTCCAAGCTGTTTAAAGGCACAGTCAACTTAGTGTGTGTAAACTTCTGACCCACTGGAATTGTGATACAGTGAAATAATCTGTCTGTAAACAATTGTTGGAAAAATGACTTGTGTCATGCACAAAGTAGATGTCCTAACCGACTTGCCAAAACTATAGTTTGTTAACAAGACATTTGTGGAGTGGTTGAAAAACGAGTTTTAATGACTCCAACCTAAGTGTATGTAAAGAAAAACTTCAACCTTAAATAATGGAAAAGTGATGCGTGCATATGTATTCACCCCCTTTGCTATGAAGCCCCTAAATAAGATCTGGTGCAACCAATTACCTTCAGAAGTCACATAATTAGTTAAATAGATTGCACACAGGTGGACTTTAAGTGTCACATGATCTGTCACATGATCTTAGTGTGTATATATACACCTGTTCTGAATGGCCCCAGAGTCTGCAACACCACCAAGCAAGCGGTACCACCAAGCAAGCGGCACCATGAAGACCAAGGAGCTCCAAACAGGTCAGGGACCAAGTTGTGGAGAAGTACAGATCAGGGTTGGGTTATAAAAAAAGATCAGACACTTAGAACATCCCACGGAGCACCATTAAATTCATTATTAGAAAATGGAAAGAATATGGCACCACAACAAACTTGCCAAGAGAGGGCCGCCCACCAAAACTCACGGACCAGGCAAGGAGGGCATTAATCAGAGGCAACATAAAAATCAAATCAAATCAAATCAAATTTTATTGGTCACATGCGCCGAATACGGTACAACAGGTGCAGACATTACAGTGAAATGCTTACTTACAGCCCTTAACCAACAGTGCATTTATTTTAAACAAAAAAGTAAGAATAAAACAACAACAAAAAAAGTGTTGAGAAAAAAAGAGCAGAAGTAAAATAAAGTGACAGTAGGGAGGCTATATATACAGTAAAATAAAGTGACAGTAGGGAGGCTATATATACAGGGGGGTACCGTTGCAGAGTCAGTGTGCGGGGGCACCGGCTAGTTGAGGTAGTTGA